CTTCTTATTAGAATAGATTAGATTGTTTAAGAATTATGAATTATAAAATTACAACTTTCACAGTACTTTCATTTATTTTCTTCTTATTACATTTGATTAGATTATTTTAAAGAAATTAATTATATTATATGTTTGATTTCTTTTCAGATCACAAAGTTTAATTATACTATTATTATTTAAATAGATATTGTTTGTATAAAAGTCAAAGAGAATCTCACACGTATCTTTGATCTCAATGCCAATTATAATACTTATATATGGCTTTTTGTTAAAATATATTTCATGTATGGGGTTAACTTATATGATCCTACTTTAATTAGATTTAGATAATTTAACATTTGTTCTTTACACCCAAACTCTTCCACAAAACCATGAGATTTTCAAAATTAATTTTAGGGGTTGCTTGCATTAAAAAATTATGTTAGAGGGCCAATAGAGTTTGTTTTATAGTTTAAGATTGTCAACACATTTTGTCTCTTATGCATATCAATTATGAGTAATAATATAATTTAATTGATCCAAGTATATCTATTCCTTTATACAAATAGGAGGATCAAAGAATCACTGTTCATACTACAGTAAATTGAACAGTAGAATTATCACTGTAGCAGAACACATCTCACACATGAAAAATGAGCGGCTGACTTCAAAATTTAAAGATTCAAAATTCAAATACAACTAAGATAATGAAATATTCTATTCTCCCTCCAAATTCATAACAATAGGTTTACATTCAAACTTCACTCAAGAAAACAGCCCTCACTACATCAGGAAAAATTAATGTAGCCGCCAGTATGCAAAATCAGAGCAGCAGCAAATCAGGACTCCATTCAACCAAAAAAAAAAGAGCGAAGAAAGGAAACCAAGGAGAGAGCAGCAGCCAGGAGCAATACAAAACAACACGATGGCATAAAAAAAGAAAGCATCAGCAAGAAAAAGACAAAGAAGAAGAGAACAGCGGCCATAAGCAATACAAAACAACAGGATGGCATAAAAAAAAGAAGCGGCGGCAAGAAAAAAGACGAAGAAGAAGAGAAATAAAAACTTAGAAGAAATAGCAGAGAATTTACCTAGCTGAAAAATTGATCAAGATTTCTACTTATGATCTGGAAAAAAACACTGAAAAAGGTACTTAATTTTTGCATGTAACTAACACTGATGGAGGAACAATGAAAGGGAGATATTCCCAGAGATTTTGTGCGTTAGAAGATAAATGTATTAAGAAGTGCTTAATAATCAAACTGCTTCACATTAGAAGATAAATGTATTAAGAATTGCGTAACTAATGCCTGATTTTGTGCAGAACAATGAAAGGGAGATATTCCTAGAGATTATCAAATCAATTATTGGGAAGACTAAAAGTTCAAGTTAAGCTAACAAAGTACAACTTCGAAGAAGGTAAGCAATTCTTTTGTTTGATTAATGATCTAATACATTTATCTAATATATTGCAATAATATCCTACAAATTTAAAGATAGCTTTACATGTATTTTTCATAGATTTATTTTTATAATGATGAAACGGACAATGAGAACTACACTGTTACAAAACTTATCGAAGCTATTGAAGGTGATTCATAGGTACAAACCTAAATTTTGAAGTTATCGAACTTATCAAAGTTTAATACCTATGAACCAATGTTAAGCAAGTATAATGATTATTAAACATAAAATGTTATGTTCTGATTATGGTGGTAGTTATATTTTTTTTCAAAAACGTAAAACTATATACTCTCATGTGCTCATATTCCGAATGAATGAATTCAATAATAGATAGATCAACTGAGAATATATAAATTTGTGTTGCCAATTAGATCAATTATGGAAATCAAAACTCTCAAGTACCACAACAAATTAGCACAAATGTTAGAGAACCAATTGGACTAACAATGCCCATCTTAAGCAGGTATGATTTCATTGAGCAACTTATAGGCTATTTATATATATGCCCAATTTTATTTACAGATTTCACCAAATTAGTGCATACATTCAATAGGATTCTAAGAGAGGAAAAACAACAACTTATAACATTAAACTCATAAACTTCATGAGAAAATAGAGTGCTTAAAATATAATTTTTGTGAAACATAACATTTGAATTAATAAATTATGAACCATCTATACTACTGATAATAACTTTTTCATCATACATGTAGGAATACTCACAGTGAGAACAACTTATGAAGGCTTCAGAAGCAACAATTTATGATGTTGTATATTTTGATGCTCTACGAACTTCACAAGTAATACAAATCTATCAATTTATTCAAATTATAAAGATATTGTTGCCGACTACATGATAAAACAAGCTCTTTCAATTATAAAAGCTACATGATAAAACCAGCTCTTTCAACTATGTATGTCAATTATATAAGCTACAAAATAACACCAATTCCTACTAAACTTAGAGCTAAACAAGCTCGAATTCATCACCAAAATCTATGAGGACTTATTAGGGCTCATGATAAAAATAGATTGGTCATAAAAGATTGCCTCTCCTATAAAACTATGATGCAATGTAGGCTGCTATTATGAGGGATTACATCACCCAAACATTGTAATATCAATGTAGCTTGCATTCCACACAGAATTGCCTCGCCTAAACATTACATAATTAATTAAAATAGGTTGCATTCTCAGTTTGTTATCATCATCACTGCCCATCTAAAAAACATAAACCAAAAGAACACATACCAGAATTGAGTACCAAAGAAAGCCATCTGTCATTAAGCTCAAACCGACCATTATATACCACAAGAAGCTAACAACCAATACCTCAATGTAAGCACAAAAAGCCAACAATAACAATTAGCAACAAGAATCAATAAAGCCTTTTAATTTGTAGTTATAACTGATATTTTCCTTTCCTCAAAACATCAAACAAATTAAGAATGTACATCCAAACTATTCATGCTACCCAGTCACGCTAAATGGTGGATGCACTAGAACAAAGAAACTTAATGATAATAGCATAAGTTTTTTATTTATCATTTTAATTTGTCATTGTATACTAAAATGCATATGTATTTGTTTTTTGACAGCGGTATATACAATAGAGCTGTTGAAACGATGTAAAGACTATAAAGATAAATCAATATAAATATTTTCACTCTAAAATACCCCTTTCAAAAATTAACTATGTCCCAAGATTATGACAATAAAACAACACAAAGTAATTAAAATATACTAATTAAAAACTTACCAGAGTTGATCACTTAAAGGTAATTTTTTTCCTCAAAATATATTTCAACATGTTCAAGCTTTCATTTTAACTTATGCATGCAATTCTTTCCTTGCGATAATTTTCTTGCAAAGTTCGCACCTCTTATAGCCATTTGAGCAGCAGTTAAGAAGAAAGATCTATACTGCCTCAAATTTACTCAAACAGTTCCTTGCCTTTAGTATGAAGAAAAAGTCACAAAAGAGAGTTAGTTAAAACTTCAAATTGGACTAACAACACTCATCTTAAGCAAGAAATTTAAATGAGCAACTTATAGGCAATATATATATCCCCAATTTTATTTACAGATTTTACCAAATTTGTGCATCCAGTCAATAGGATTCTAAGAGGGAAAACATCGACTTATAATATTAAACTCATAACTTCATGAGAAAATATAGCATAAGTTTTTTATTTGTCATTTTAACTTGTCATTGTATTACCAAAATGCATATGTATTTGTTTTTTGACAGCGGTATATCTATTACTTTATACAAATACTAGGATCAAAGAATAAACTTCATGAAAAAATATAGAATGCTTAAAACTTAATTTTAATTATCTGCTTAATTCATTTTACTATGTGTCTTAATTTATTCCCATGTAGACTATTTCATTTAACTGTATTTGTGGGAATAAATTACCCTTTGCATTAATGTATATAGCTTATTGTATTTGTGGGAATAAATTACCCTTTGCATTAATGTATATAGCTTATTAGGATATCAAAAAATTGAGAACATTTCTTAAATAATCTGAAACCCTTTGCATTAATGTATATAGCTTATTAGGATATCAAAAAATTGAGAACATTTCTTAAATAATCTGAAATCCTGAATCCATGTAAAGACTATAAAGATAAGTCAATTATTATAAGTATTTGACTATTTTCACTCTAAGATACGTCTTTCAAAATTTAACCATGTTCCAAGATTATGACACAGAAACAACACAAAGTTAATAAAAAACACTAATTCAAAACTTACCAGCATTGATCACTAAAACGCAATTTTTTCCTCAAAATAAATTTCACCCTGATCAAACATTCATTTTAACTCATGCATGCAATTCTTTCCTTGCTATAATTTTCTTGCAAAGTTCAGCCCTCTTATACCCATTTGAGCAGTAGTTAAGAAGGAAGATCTCTACTGCCTAGAATTTACTGTCAAGCAATTCCATGCCTTTAGTATGAAGAAAAGACACAAAAGAGAGTTAAGACTTCAAATTGGACTAACAACGCTCATTTCAAGCAAGAATTTTAATTAAGCAACTTATAAGCAATTTATATATATTTCTAATTTTTATTTACAGATTTCAACAAATTAGTGCATCCATTCAATAGGATTCTAAGAGAGGAAAAACATCGACCTATAACATTAAACTCATAAATTAGTGCATCAATACTTTATACTTTCTTTTTATACCAACTCCCCATTGTTCAATGAGAACTTTCTATTTACAGATTAATTTATACTTTAGACTTAAAAAACATTCAAAGCTTTTTACTGTTACAATTCATCATTCTAGAAAAGGAACTCCATAATGCAAATTTAAAACCTAAGCAGCATAAGTCAGTTAAATAGACAGAAGATACAATCACTTCTTCCCAGTTAAATTGGAGTTACAGAAGAAAACTGAACAAATATCAAGCCAAATTTAATTGACCAGATAACTATATCTCATTTCATTTATTCACATCTTACTACAGTAACCAATTCCTTTTTTTATAAATCAGTCAGACACACTGAATAAATAACCAGATAACATGAATTAGACTCACCAGTATCTAATAGAAAACAACTTTTCCATGTTAAAAACTCAAAACGCCGACCTATTCACAAAAATGAAACAAATTTCATTCATTCATATTCATTCATATAAATTACGAAACACATAAAAAGCAAGATGAAGAAATAGCTAAAATTTCACAACGAAACTGAACCAGATTTCTAGGAGATAAGATAGATCAACCAAATTTAATGAATCTAGCATGAAATTAAGCATAAAAAATACCAAAAATAGGGAAGCAATAGATTAACAAAATTTCATGGTTTTGATATCAAATTATTCATCAACTATTCGACGAAAGGGAATATCATGGAGAAATTATACATGTAATTGCCGAAATCCAACAAATCAAGCAAAATCCGACGAAATCGTACACAAATTAATTGCAAAAGGTTTTTTTACCTTTCCAGTGAGAAAAATCAAAGAATCACGGTAGATCTACAGAGATCGATGGAAGTGGGCGTCGTCGGGGGTAGGGACGACGGCGTCGTCGGAGAGGGGGGAGAACGTCGCGGGGAGGAGGGTGTCGTCGAAGCGGGACGGGGACGAGGGAGTCCTTGGAGCGGGACGAGGGCGTCGTCGGAGCGGAAGGAGGGCGTCGTCGCGGCGAGGATGAGCACAGGTCGTCGATGGGGACTTGGGTTGGGGAGTTCGGCTGACAATTGCCAGATCTAGGGTTTATGAGATGTGAGAAACATATTTATATGTGGTCATGAGATGTTCGGAACAAATCTCAACCGTTGGTTGATGATCCAAAGGATATGTGAAGCCCTAGCTCACTTAACAATGTATATTTACTAGTTAAGATTCATGTGCAATGCACGTGGTTGAATATCATGAGTTGAGATGCACATGCAACGCACGTTGTTGAATATCATGATTATTTAAATTGATAAAAATAAAATAAAATAAAAAATAAAATAAATTTTTTGTGGGATTGATCAACTCAATAAACTCTCTCAAATAAAATATTATCATTGTTTCCTTCAACCCAGGCTGTAACCACGTGATTTACTATTTGTGAATTATAAACACATTAATCTAATACAACATCTCTATTTATTAGCATCTTGAAGTCTTTAAAAGATGGGTGGTCATTCAATTCGCAAAGAAATTTTGAATATAAATTTACTTGTAATATGTTCATTAAACTTTTAGTTGTGGTTTGACTCATTCACGTTAACTTTTAACTGATGTTTCACTCATATTTATATTATCTAATATTCTCATTCAATTTTATAGCGCTCATTCTCTGTATCATAGAAGTAAAACTGAAAATATAAAGAATTATTTTCTTGCAAAATTAGAATAGGATGATTATGATATATTTCGCCATGGGTTCTAAATATTAATTTTTCTTTTTTCTTTGACGCAAGGTCCCTATCAAATCTTACCCCAAACGATGTGAATGAAAAATACTATTATAACTCATTTGCATAAGGTAATTGTATTGTATATAGGATACATAACTCATTTAAAATATTCACATCTCCTAAGTAGATTTTGTTGTTGTGAGAGCAACATGTGAGAGGCTCGTATTCAAACTTTTTGACTCTATAAAAGACACAAGAATTTGAAGTGCATAGTTTATATATCATAAAGAACATATCGATTCATAATGAATTTTTCCTAATAATGATATTATTACAACGATATTGCTATTCAATATTAAATCAATTTTATAATATAATATTATGTGACCCTTTTTAATAAATTATAGTATATATATGAAAATATTGATGCTTATAGCCAATAGTTGAGCTCCACAAAATAGGTTAACTTTACATTGTAGTTTGTTATTTGTATTTTGTAGTACTGTTGGCATTGCTATTACCTTTCCTCTTTATCTTATTATTCACACTTTTCTGATGTAAGTTCTCTTTTGCTAATTATTCAATTGGTTATATTTAGTTTTTATAATATCAGAAGTTAGAATATTCTCTTTTATTTAAAAAGTGTTGGCATGGTATTCTTAAAAAATATATACACATAGTAGCAATAGTATATACTTCAATGCAACCCAAACATTGGTTTCAAGCCATTTAGAGTGAGGTCATTTCTATGCTAGAATGGTGATATGGTGATTACACAGTCTAAACATCAAAGAAGAAATTTCTACAAAGAAAAAGTAATTTAATATGTCAAATTAAAAACTAATTTATAAAATATACATGGTTGTTACTCATGATACATGGTTTGTATAACATTATGGAGGTATAAGCGAATGATTGGTAAAATAGATAACAAAAGGATTAAAAATAATGTGAAGTTTTAAGATAAAAAAGGAACATAACGGAAGAAAAGGCTAAGACTTGGAATCAAGGGTTGATGAGTGGACATCTACACAAACTTTTAATCATCAATTTTAAAAATAAGATGTGATAGTTTTTAATAAACAATGAGATGAAACGATTTTAAACAGGTAAGTATCAAATGCAGGTAAAAAATCACATTGACTACAGCCTATGAAGTCAGATGACAAGAAAAGCATTCAAGTAGAATATGCAAATAAAAATTATAATTAAAGGGATGATTTTAAGGTAAACCGAAGTATCTAACTCTAATCATTCTGTTAGATCTGACAATCTAGCTATAAATAAGAAGTGAATACTGAATAGACACCACAGCAATTTGAAGTTGCCAAAAAAAGTTTCTTTCAAATAAAATTCCACGTGATCCTCACTTTTTTTCCCAGTACAAATATAAAACACCAAGAAACCCTAAAATATAAAAAATAAATTAAGAAAATCTGTAGAATAAAGTGAATTTAGAAAAAAGGAACTCATATGGTGATCACCATACAAGCATCCAGAATTATATCAGAAATCAATAACAAGGTAGTTTATCCCATCAGACCTTAAAAAGTGAATAAAACAACTAAAGAAAGCACAAAGTATATAGAACAAATTTTACCATATTTTCTGATCTATGGAAAATCAATACCATTGTGCTCTTTAAAACGTAAAACAACCATATGCCTCCCATTAAAAATAAACATTATAAAAGACAAAACTTTATGGTAAATTAACCAAACATATAAACAAAATAAGCCCAAATAAACAGAACAAAATAGATAGATATGAACCGTTCACAACCATAAAGCACTATTAATCTTCTAAAATTCTCAGTTATTTCATAGCAGAATCATACAGAACGCTAACAAATCGATTTTAATATATACATCGTGAATTCCATCAATAGATGGAAAAAGAACAGATTATTTTTTGTGCATAAATACTTGAACTTTCTATTAAAATACCCAAAAAATCAAATAATAGACATGACCAGATCTAGAAACAACGGTAGTATAGAAAAGTAAAGTATCAACCAAATCCAAATCGCATGCCATCATCCCCACAACAATCAAACATCAAAGGAACAGAACCCTAACCTAATGAACAATAAAAATCGAAAAATAGAGCGAGAAGAAAACTCACAATCAATAAATTAGTTGAATTTGAGCAGGGAGCACGAATCCGAACCCTTCTTCTCCTCGGCGGATCAAAGAGCGAAATAGAGAAGAAGAATCGCGTGGAGAGAACAGCTACAAGGACCAAAAGGAAACCCTAGATCGATCGATGGATGGAATTGGGGGACTGGATTTTGGGGGCAAACAAAAATTTTAGGGTTAGAACAGCATACACGGTGTTCTCTAGGAGTTATTTAACTATCGGTTTTTCTCTAGAGTGCGGCACTATATAGTAAACTCCAAACAACACCATAAGAGAGGATAGAGAAAGAGAAATGAATAAGGAGGGGTCCCCTCATTTGCATTGGAATCCTCTTCTCATTCATTTCTCTCTATCTCTTTCCTTTCTTATAGAGTGCCCATGGACACTCTATAGAAAAACCGTTTAACTATTAATCCCTCAGATATTTAATAGTTATATATGAATCCCTGAAATCTTTTATGTTGCTTGTAAGTCCCTCAAATCTTAAGGGCCTTGAGTTTCCTTAATGACGAAAATACCCCTTCCTTATGGTCTTCCAAAGCACTTCTATGTTCAGAAAATCATTGGCTTAGGGGTAGTTTTGTTATGGAGTGCCAAATTGCAAGATCTCTTAAAATTTGTCGTAAGTTATGAACAATTCGAATATTTGAGGGGCTAATAGTGTTATAGAATATATGAGGTACTAATAACTAAATTTCTTTTTTACATTTTAGGTTTTCTTTGCCCTCTCGTCTTTGGGCTATTCTAGAGCTCTTATGTTCTGTTGAGGAATCTATGGAGTGACATTTTACCTATTAACCCTAGTTGTTTTCTGCACGACGCATAACCTTATTTTTTTATGTTTGTTTATTGTTTTTATATTCTTTAATTTTTCTTCGATAACAAATTATTTGATAGAATTGTTTTGCATGCTTTTTTTATTATAAATTTTTTTTCGAGAAACTTCTACTTTTGAACCTTACAAAATTACAACATAGGGCATGTATATGGTAATAGAAACTTCTGTTCTATTTAAGATTTACTCTTTCTGATTGCTCTAATTTATTGTTTAGAAAGCATGCTTTTCCCCCAAAAAAAACTGCATAAAACATTGTTTTTCTTTTTAAGGTAGAATGGTACAATGCACATGCTTTGCACGTGAACATACATGTTTTAAGTTTTGAATTTCTTATTAAATAGTAAAACTATGTGCTAATAAATAAAATCATATAATAAGATTGCTTAAAAAGAAATGTATGAATTAATCATTATTGTGTAGTTATTGTAATTGAATATTTTTCTTATGATGATCGTCTATTGTTAACCTTTTTTTCAAATAAGTTCCTAAATCTAAAATTATTCTTAAATAAAAATACCAATTCTATAAATTTTCTTAAATATGCACCTCTAACTTGAAAGTTGTTAATTTAACTCTAAATTAATTAAGTTGCATTAATCTTGCTAGCTTTTTCCTAATGTTCCCTAAATAATTACAGTAATGTATATATCTTCATAAAAATTCCATAGTGAGTGACCAACTACAATCATCCTAATTTAAGCATAAATAATTATTATTTTAGTTGCTAATTTGATATGCGTAACTATGGAATAAATCTCCAGAAAAAAATAGGAATTGAGATTGTATTATAATATAGGTAAATAAATAAATGTTATTAGAACTCCTCTTTATATTAATATTAAAAGTAATAGTTTAAATCATTAAGCACCAAATATTAGCTTATGTGAGAAAGTAAAATAATCTATGATCTATATACATATATAGTCAATCAATCAAACGTATTAAATTTATGATGACCACAGTCAAAATTATATGGTGGGTTCACATTAAATATAATTTATAAAAAATAGTACAATAAAGTCAAAAAGTTTTTAACCGTTATATAGATTGTCTGGTTTTTTTTTGCATATATAAACTAATCTGCCTAGTAATAGTGATATGCACACTTAACTATGGTCTAATAATCTTAAGAACGACTTATTCTTCAATATTATCGTTAATTGATGTATATGTGCATTACACATCAAACACAATAAAAATTTAGAAAACTACAAAATTAACACCCTAAAAAGTTTTATTAGTGTAAAAAACACCCTAAATTTTGTAATTTACAAATATACAAAACTATTAAATGTTACATTGAAATCAAGGAATTACAAAAAAATCATTGAAAATTTTCAAACTTTGGAGGGGTAATTTGCAATGCACTAAACTTTAAGGGTGTTTGTTGTAAATTAGAAATTTAATAGATTTTTAATTAGTTAGTTCTTTTTAAAAAGTTATGGGTAATATTTACCATGAAAAGTTTTTCCCAAACCTATATTTTTACAAGGTGTATGTATAATATTTTTTGCAAAATTTTAATTTTCTAAGGGTTGTTAGTAATTTTGCTTATTCATTTTAGTGTTTATAGGTTAGAAATTTTCATGATGTTTTTTTGTAAATTATGAAATTTAAGGACTTTTTACAATTTTTTTAAACTTATAGCCATTTTCTACAGATTGTAAATTGTTTATAGACTATTTATAATTCCTATGCTTTTAATTTACTAATGAATTTGAAATTTTCAGGGTGTTTTTTTGTAAATTTTGAAGTTTAAATGTTTGTTTATAATTTTTGAAACTTTAAGGGTTTAATCTATAAATTATAATTATGTAGGGGATATTTATAATTCATATATTTTTAATGTACTATTAGGTCAGAAATTATCAGGATTTTTGTAAATTTTATAAATTTGAGGGTTTTATTTTGTAATTTATAAAAAGTTTAGAGTGTGTATTGTAAATTTTATAAATTTTTGGGGGTTGTTTGTGTTATTTGTAGGTTTTTAGTATGTTTATAGGTTTGAAATTTCAAGGTATTTTTATAAATTTTGAATTTTTAGGGGTGTTTTTGTAATTTTTAAAACTTACAATATATTTTCTCCAAAGTTAAAAAACTTTCAGTTTCTGATTAGCATATGTTTTTCAGATTTCTCACTGAATTGAGATAAGTAAAATTTATAATTTCCAAGATGCTTTAATAAAATTTTGAATTTGTAGGGGCGTTTTTGTAAGTTAAAAAACTTGGAGAATATTTTTTACAAAGTCCAAAAACTTTTAGGTGCTGACTAGCATATGTTTTTTAGATTTTTCTACGAACTAAAATAAATAAAGGATTTGAATTATATGAAACGTATTTATTTTATCTAATAACATGTTAAGTCTCATTATGAATAGAATAAATCATTTGGTTACCAATTCAAAGAAGATAGGACAATTAGAATAGATTAGGATAACAATATAATATTAAAAAAACTAAGGGTAATATTGATCATATAAAGATTTTCCCCAACTCGCACTTTTAAAGGGAGTATGATATATGGGTAGAAGTTGTAATGAAAATTTTGATAAATTGCATAGAAATTTCAACTTAAAAGAGAATTTGTAATTATAAAGACTTACTTTCTTTTGTATAACAACAAGAAAAATGACAAATGAAAAAATAGATAATAGCAAGACCAATTTAAACTACTTTACTTTCCCAAAATAACACTCCCTCGAGATACAAAATAAATTGACCTCTTGAATAGTAATTGGCTACAAAATTTTGCCTTTAACAAAACTTTGGAAAGAGATATTTAACTAATTTAGTAATATATTAAATTGGTGATTCTTAATCTAGGAAATTTAGAGTTGGCATTATATATTCTTTAGACCAAGTATGTATAAACATCAGATGACAATATTTTTGGTAACATATATTTTTATATGATTTATGATTTTCAATTTTAAGTGTATAATAATCAAATCAAATGTATTAAAATTTAGAGAGACGTAAATTTAAAATACAATGATAAAAAAATTAGTTGCCGTGCTTTGCACGGGGTACATACTAGTCCTAATATATTTCTGGACTCTTATCTCTTCTTTTGCTCTTTATCATGTACAAACCTAGCGATTCTTATTCAATTCTTTCTTTTTTCTTTTTTGTCTCTTGACATTGTCTTTTGTTCTTCATTTTGTACAAACCCATTTCATGGATTAGTGTTATGATTTTTGAGGGGTAGGCAGAAGACAAATTGGTTGATTTTGGTGTTAGACTTTATTATTTGAAGAGATTAATTTCAAAAAATTCAACTCCAACCTGATATCACAATTGATGTAGATGATGAAGACGCTACTCTAGAATTATCTAATAAAAAAATAAATGTGGAGAAAGATTAATCTCGGCTCAATTAAAATATGAAATAAAAAGAGTAAATGATAATATTTTTTGAACATTTTATACTATAACTTAATTTTGAGTAAAATTAGGAATTTTTAGAAGGAATTTTCATACAAAATTTTTAATATTTTTGTAAACTTATGTGATTACTTTTATCACATAAAATTATACTATAGTTATTATTAATCTTTAGTTTTTGTCTTTTTATTATTTTAAGTCTATCAAATAATGTAGGCTGAGATCTCATATATATATATCATGTTTATCGTACTTCTTTTTTTTTTTGCTCTTGAGATTGTTTATTATAAAACATGAGCTTATAATGTTGAAAAGTGCAGTGTAATTCGATTTTCAATGCAATAAGAAATGTTATTTTTTATTGCTAGAACTATAGATCATAATGATATTGTTATTCATACTTGACTCCATACTATAACTTGGGATTGGTAGAGTTTAGAATATGACATATAGTATCATTTTAACTTATTTTCTTTTACTATTTTACTTGAAGATATTATTATGTCAACTGATATCTTTTTCTGCGAAAATCAATTATGATATCCCAGTTAAGTATATTGATCATAGTTTAGCACAAAAATCCATTACATCAATTTTTTTACAATGTTTAAATAAGAATTATAGCAAATCTAATAATTAAAATGAACCTAACTTATTTATAGTAATAAAATAAAAAATAAATTATTTTGATATTTAACGTGCATAAAAACTAGTTATATAAAAATCACAAGTATCTCAGACTATAGCTGACCTCAGCAGATAAGGCTACGTATTCCTCCCTCTCAAATTTCTGTACTTTATTAATTAAAAAGATAAATTCAAAACCTAACAACCAAAAACTGAAACCCACTGAATTCAGTGAGAAACCAAACCAATGGCGGTCTCCATGTCGTCGCTTCACGCTTTCCATCCGTCCATCTCCGTCTGCGGCAGGCAGCCCGTCGTTAGGGTTCCGTCCTGAGAGACGCGTGAGCTCCATGGATTTCTCCGTTTCGATCTCGGACGGAAACC